CTGACATCTATTGACTTACTCTTTAGGGTTCCCAGTTTTGAGATAGAGAGTCAGATGTCTGAACTCTTCATGATAGGCTATTAGAATTTTTCATCCTCAGCTCAGATGTGTTTTAAGCAAAATTTCAAAAGTTTCCGTAGCTTCAGAATGAATCCCACATGTCTGTGCTCAGGGATGACTGTATAAATCGAAGCGGACTGAAAGCACAAAACATTATTTGAAGAATGCCCAACACACCAGCAGCCTCACTTTTAAACTCCATGACATCCAGTGGTTTGCAGACTCCTGATGTCAGCGGCTCCACTCTCTCCATGAGGCTTTGCAGCTGTTGACTGCAATAACTGAGAAATTACACTGTAAATCATATACAATTATATAATTCATTTACAATAAAAGCAGTTCAGATTTATTTTGAAAGCAGCCTTTGACCTTTACTGTGAAAGATTGAAAATCTGTGATCAGTTTGATTTCAGTTGTGTCGTCCATCGATGACGTGGAACATCAACGCTGATTATCCAAATTCAGATCAGTGATGTAACAGGTTAAACTAACCGTGCTCCAGGTAACTCTGCTCCTCTCTCGTCTTTGGGTTTATCGAGAAACATTTGTATAAACAGGGCAGGACTGTTTATACAAAACTCATTTAAGAAAACCAAATGAATGAAACACTCAAAACTAAATCAGTTATATATATATTTTTTAAATGTGACAGCGATGCCCCGGAACAGACTTTTTATCCAATATTGTCAGAGTTTAATTATATAAACATGTCAGATATTTAATTATAAATGGTGGTGCTTGATGCCATATTGCCATAGAATATGAATGAATCCCACATGTCTGTGCTGCTGGAGCGGGTGGAGTCAAATTTACTTAAAACAGTTCAGGTTGACCTTAAACATATCTGAAATCTTCCAAACATACTTATCAAATTCAGTTGTGGCTCTAAAATTATTCCCACAATCTTAAAACTGATGTATTTCTTCAGTTTTGAACTTAATTTTAAATAGAAATTCTCATAGAAACATTTTTCTTTTTTCTACTTTAGTGCCAGATGATTATGTTGCAGCCACAGTTGGTCGTGACTAACTGCTGTGGT